CGTAATTTCAGAGCGAGAGAAGATCGTTTGGAGAGGATTCGCGATGGAGAAGTGAGTTCCGATGATGACTTGTATGAGGAGGACGGTGAAGTCGTAGATGAGGAGCGATCTGCTGAATACGAGCAGCAGTTGATTGCCCATATGCAAAAACTACATATCGAAGTGGAACCAGACCGACGTGAGCTTTTCTTTTGACTATCTTTTTTTTACCCTCTTCTTATCCTTCCCCTCTCCGTGTTTATATTATTGAAAAATATTTATGCTTTTCTTACTCTTTTCTTTCCTGGAAATATAGCTGAATTTTGAATGTTCTTTATCGAGTGGGTGAACTGACCTTCTGATGATTCTCCTGAACATATTCACGACGATGACGACGCCCTTTTTCGCTTTTGCTCTTTTGTCAAAACGTTTGAATTTTACTATTCAATTCGGCCCTATCCCAATGTACGGGGGCATTGTGGTAGCGGTGCATTCAAAACTGCGTAAAACATGCCCTTTCGTGGAGAACTGGACTAAGCCTCAGGCGGGGGAGGAGGTACTCCAGGTGTGTGGCCATTTTTATTTTGCTCGGAGTTCCTGCCTTCTCTTATGATTATCGTTAGTCCTGGAGGATGCCCCCGCATATTGCGATAGCGCTTTTAATTCAATTAGAATTTCTAGTAAAGGCCGATCAATGTTATGGAACATAAATAATTATGTTTTTGTCTTTTTTCTAACTCATTTTCCAACTTTAGTGGCTAATGTTGTAAGCGAAATGGTTGCTCGAGTTCATATTCGCTCTACCCAGTCGAGCCGAGAAAGAATGCCCAGCCCTCCTAGAACCGCAACTGTGGATTTAAGGTGAGGTTTTGTCTTTCATTGAGTCTCGTATCGTTAGTGATTTTGGAAGGAGTCTGCGGGATTACTCCAACATAACTGGTAGGTATGTTGATGATTCCGATGTGACTATTGAGCAAATATTCAGCGGTGATGTACCAGCTGTTGATCTACCGTGGTATGCGGGCGGAGATGGGGGTAAAGACGAAGTTCTGGAAGGTATGTCATTAAATTTGCATCCGTTGGGTAGATATCAATTCAGATTTTAAGAGAATCTATCTGAGGAGAACGAGAAGCCTGGCCAATGTCTTTACGGTGGGTTTTGCTCTTGCCTCGCGATTCCTGTCCATTTTTGCCTTTTTTATTTTTATTTCAAATGTCATTTTTCAGTATACAAATGGTCCGAGACACTGTTTCCAGGTATGATGGCTTTTTGTTTTTCTCCTATAAGGCTACATTTTTTGGGAATAGGAGTTAGGTGGTTGATGGATGGAGGCCGGCCCACTAAAGGAGGGAACGGGGTTGTATACGTAAAGCTTCTACATATTGTAGGAGTATACCCCCTCTCCTCTCCCAAACGAAAACCCCGAAACTTTACATAGTGTAGGAGCAGACTGGTTCTTGGACGTATGAAAGCGCACTAGTGAGGAGTATGGAATGTCCATAGAGGTCCCATACGCGCACTCGAAGTCTCAACTGCTCCATGCAATTTTTTTCAGATGAGACTGCAACGACTGTTGGAGAGAAACGCCCGCTGGACGTGGCAGAAGTGATTGGCGAGTTTTTTTTAATGTTGTCGATTTGTAGGTGTAGACATTTTCCATGAAACAGATGTCCATCGGTCACGTGGAGGTTTACCAGTAGGGGAGGGCTTCAATTTTGAGACCCTAGCGTGTAGAGTAATCGTGACAGACGATTGATGAGTGAAATGGACGCCTTAGGGTCTTACTCAATTGCCTTCCTCACTTCTTTCAGCACGATCACTTTTTTGAACTGACAAATTTTCTGCGTCATCCGCTTGTTCAGCGAAGGTGAAGCCAGGTCAGAATGAAAATTGATTAACTGCTAAAATTCCTATAGAAATGCCAAATATTTTATAAAACTCCTATTGATAAACCACAAAGCATTATTAGTAGTCGCGTGTGAAAGGTTGCCACATTGACGATTGGTCGCGTTTATGCTTTTGGCTAAGTTAGTAGGGCGCGACTGCGAGTGCCCACCGTGATTCGACATTGAATTTTGGAGCTTGAACCTGAAACAAAGTTAAATCCTTAATGTAAGTGCCTTACTTTGCCTTACTTAGGCATCAACGATTTCGAAATAAATGCGTGTCTGAAACTTCCACGCTTGTGCAGCTTAAAATATGCCGTGATAATGAGTTTATTTCAAATCAATATTTTTGATTTATAACCGATTTGGTTTCTGACGAATTATCGTAGCGCGTGTATGAGTGCATAGTAATGAATAAATAAATAAATAAGTAAATAAATAAATAAATAATAAATAAGTAAATAAATAATATGCAGCGGATAACTCACGCAAATTGAAAAAAAAACATTTTGGGAAGCGGCATTCACCTTGGATGCAATCCCATCCCAGTGCCCTTGCGCTCTGGAAAGCGTAGTCTCTGGCTACCGTATACAAGTCGCACAGACATTCGGATGATTGTGCGGAAACGGCGCACACTGTCGCAGTGTGTTGATTTCGAGCAAAAAATAGATGGTAAAGGTGAAATAAGGGGTGACGGATGCGAGCACCCTATCAAGGGCTACCCTGTCTGTGACCGCTGCCAATTCTTTCCGTGCACTGCACTATCCGCAGCAAGCAAAAAAAAGCTGAAATATATTGCATTTTATGTATTTATTATTTTTCAAGAACATTCTCACCTGACTGTCATAACGTTGGGCTGGCTGTTTTGTTCTGCAGTGACTAAGACTTCGACCGATTATTGTCATTCTAGCTTCTTACCAATCGGCCACGGTATGGCTGTATTCCTGGCCAGGGTGAATATCGTCGAGGATTCCTCAACGGCACGTCGAGGATTTCTGCCTGATCACGCTCTCCGCGCGGACATTCACACTCGCCATGCGCGAGCCGTCTGTGCTCTCCGCGCGTACGTTCACTCTCGGCACTACTCTCGCACAGTAGAGAGCATGGTCGAGGATTCCTCGACCGTTATTCACCCTGTCCCTGACGTTGATTACTATTGAAAGCGCGTCAATATGAGAGATTTGGTCAAGCTCAGCGAGGCCTAAAAATGGCTGGAATATATTCGAGAAGGTTGTAATTTATGCGGTGGCTTTTGCCTTTTTCATGTAATGCGTTTTAAATAGTAACCTAACAGTATCACAAGGTCCGTGACCGTCTCTATACATTTCCGAAATGCTTCAACAAGCACCATGCCTGTGAATAAGGTTTTTATCACGTCACCGATTATAGGCTCTCTCCCGAAGCGAAGAGTCGTGGAAAAAGACGGTGAGCGGAAGCCAATGGATACAAGTGGGTTTATACTCTGTGTTGTTTACTATAGATATGAGGGTTAGAAGATGCTCTGGTGAATGGATTGCTCAGAGGCGATGCTCACGAACGGCATGCCACCCCGTGAGAGGCGGGATATCGTTTCTCGTCGTCCCTGGGCGGTTATTGCTGTATATGGTCCGCCCATCGGGGACCGTATGCAGCAGTACCCTGACGGGGATGGGTCTCCTGGATTGCATTGATGCATTCCCATGCTTAAGAATGGAGGGATGTGTATAGGAATGCAGAGTTTTGGGGACCCATCTCTGGCCAAGTACTGCTACATACGTTGGGATATGTTTCTGTGCACTCCATCCTCACCTAGCGCAGCTTTGGCATTCGCTATCGCAAGATACAGGGGCATCCTCACTACTATGCCTAGGAGGGGCAGGAACACCGCGTAACAAAAAATGCAATATAAACTCTCTCCTCCTCCAGTGCCGTTTACAAAAGCGAAATATCTTATGCGGTTTCAAATGCTTTCCCACTGCAATGCCCCCGTATCTTGTCCAAAATCTTCTCTTACCTATAATTAAAAGCTTTAGCCTTAGCATGACGTAAAGTTGCGCACGACTGTCTTGACTCCTAACCACTACTTGACATGATCAAACACGCA